GAGGAATTAAAAGGGGTGTTCCACTTATATGCTTTCCATGGCATATACATGTACAGTATCTATCATGAAACATACAATGTAAGACTAGTTTTAAAAGCATTATGCCATTAGTCTTAAATTTCAGTAAAAAGGATAATCTCTCAGCCTAATTGCTAGCCCATTCCTTTGATTTTGCAATCAACTTGAAGGGTATATACATGTACATGTACATCTACTCATTCAGCTTCTTTTTGGATTTTACATGTGTACTAGAACCTGTGAAGTGTGAACTGGAAATCTTTAAAATTGCAGCTTAGTACACACGCAGCATTTGCATACAAAAATGTTTAATTTCATGTTCTAAAACCAAAAGATCTTACCGGTACATGTATGCAATTGTCTTTTAATTTAATTTATTTATCTAAAGGACTGTCAACTGTAGAAAACTTATTTCAGTTTAAATGTTTGACAGTACATGACTTGTTTAAGTGAGCAAAATTTGCATAAATACTTCTAGACAATATTTTCCTTCATACTGTTTCATTAAATGCCCCATCATCCAATTCCTTTCTAGTTGCTTTTGATGATTTTTGTATGGCTTGGCATTTTCTTTTGGTTTGGAAAGTTTACAAGAGCCTTCATGAAGGTAGAAAAATGAGACAAGCTTGGGTTTGAACTGATTACCTTCTATTCTGAAAAGTCAGTTTGGACGTGTACGTCCGACACCAAAAAATGTGCATGTACGTCTGACACCAATATAATAAATACTTTATCTGCAAGTCACAACAAGATGAAAATGTGTCTTGCCCTGAAGTTTATTAACAAGGGTCTGCTAAAACTAAACACAGGAAAACTACTTCAGGTCCCAGCATTTCACAGAGTTTGCGATACAAAAATGGAAACTCAAAAATTTAACTTTCTCCGAGTACGTCCAACACCATGGTGTTATGAGTCAGCTTCTACAAGGATAATAATTCTGGGTGAGGAATTTGCTTATTAAATGAATGTACCAACTAGCTGATGTCTTTTATCAAAATCATATTCTGCTTCAGGATTATAAGTATAATAGCACACACTGTTGAAGTGTCCAGAATGTATGTTCGACACCGTGGAACTACCCATTAGGTTACTAGAGTGTGTAGTGTTGTGTTGACGGATAATGAGTTACATCATGTACATTTCATTTCTTTCCATTCTAGAAGCAAAACCATGTTCAGGAGAGGACATTTTGAAAAAACATTTCACTAACAAACCAATGTCTCACTCGAAACAGTGTAAAATGAGATGTATTTGTGGACAATCACAGAGCTGTTCCTTTTGTTTGTCGTGATTGCGTATCTGCAAGTTTCAATCTGCCGGGATATGTACTTTTGGAGAGGGCTTTAAAGAATGCACTTTTAATGTCATGTGACTTGTCAACTGATGACGTCATCATCCCATGAGGTCAATTTTCGTCTATCACACCCCCTAACAGATATCTACAAAGTTTCAACCGGCTGGGGCATGTACTTCAAGAGATATAGAGCTTTCAATGACGCATATTCAATGTCACATGACTTGTCATCTGATGAGGTCATCAACCCACGAGGTCCAGTTTTGTCTATCACACACCCCGTTACAGATATCTACAAAGTTTCAACTGGCTGAGACATGTACTTCAAGAGATACAGAGATTGAAATGATGTATATTTAATGTCACATGACTTGTAATTTGATGACGTCATTATCCCATGAGGTCAATTTCCATCTATTACACATCCCTTGAAGATACATGTACAGTATCTGCAAAATTTCACCTTCAGCCCGCTGGAATGTTTACTTTTCAAAATATAGGGCTGCAAAGGATGCATCTTTAATGTCATATGTGACTTTTCAACTAATGACGACATCTTGTGTGGTCAATTTTCATCTATCACACATCTACATCTAGATACATGTATATGTACATGTATCTTAAAAGTTTCAACCTGATCAGACATGTATTTCAGAAGATATAGCATGTCAAAGAATGCAATACATGTACATGTATTAATGTCACGTGAATTGTCACCTGATGATCATGAGATCATAACGAGGTCAACCTTCGACTTTAACATTTCGCTTTTCCAATTATCTGCAAAATTTCATCCTGATGGAATATGTGCATTTGTTGTTCAGGAGATACGTGTATTCGGCTACTGACAAAGGACTTCACAAACGTGTTATTAGACAGTTCAGTTTCATTTGTACGCAAGACCAAAAATCAACGTCCCTTTAATATCTGTTTAGAATAAGATGACCTTGATTGGGATCTCAGAGACAAACACAATGTTTCCCTTGCCTACTTTGAAGAAAAATAGAAAAATGGGCAACAAACCATGAATAGTTATTTCAAATGCTAATGCTTAATTCAATCACTGTGTGCTTTCTTGCCTCAGCCCTGGCAAAAATATGATCGAATGTAGGGAAATTATCAGTCAGGTAAAACAAAACATGGAACTGCATCAAGTGAGGGCGCACTTCAGTTTTCTTGTAAAGGGTTTGATTGCCGGGAGAATTTTCTGCAATTGGGTGTACGGCTTTGCAACCGTGACGATGTAAAATCATCTTAACACCAGAGGATATGGGACTGTTAGGGCCATCAAAATACACAAACTAAGAGAGGTTGATTTCAAAGACGGGAAGACAAATAATGCAAACATCAATTTCACACAATTCTTCAAAAAATATTTCTTATTTCCTATCAACAGAATTGGACAAATGATGACTTTTAACAACTGTATCTTGCAAGTGCTCAAAATGTTGAACACTGAAAGACGTCTTGTTAAAGTTATGTTCAAGAATGTTAAAGTGTCCTTACTATTTATAAAAGAAAAGAGAAAAACTGCATCAGGGCATTTCACTATTGTATATTATATACATGTACATGTAAATACCGGTAAACATTTTGTGCCCTAGATACATGTACTTAAGAAACATGGGAGCAGTTTTAAAATATCAGCAACTTATGACCATTGAAAACTTTGCATAATGCAGCTGTGAAACCTGTGTTTACAATTTCTGCAGAAATCTTGAAAATGCAAGAATCCCAAAGCTTAAAGCACAGTAACATGGCCCCGCTTGTGAATAAAAATATCTTCCAGCAAGAAGGATCATGTTTGCGCCACGCTCTGTGCAATCATATCTGGATATCGGACTAGTCCTGGCTGTAATCCACTGGCACTTGGCCAACAAGACTCAACTAGTCCATACCATCAGACTACGGAGAAAAGAGACAAGGTAGTGGTCATTCACGCTGTCTAGTTGTGTAGTGTGTGCGAACTGACTAGCCAAGCTTGGTGTGTACAAACTTTACATGGGCAAGGTGCATTGCCAGCGTGTGGCTGCTCTGAACTGGCGATCGTGAGTGCATTTTGAGCACACCTGGCGCAGCGCTGTGCTGCATGCTCTGTGGGGCCTGGCAGGTACTCCATCCACTGTGTAGTTGAGGGCACATACATTTGACGAGTCGCATGGGCCTACTATCATCACTGAACCACCCAATTATTTATGTCAGGAGTTCCAAATTCAGATCATAGCATAATGACCAACCATTAATGAACATGCCGTTCCGATCACGGTTTGGCCAGCCTCTCTGGTACACACAGGTCTTTGAATCAGCCATTCCCAATCATGGGCTGTCCAGTTGACATTGATATTTAATGACCTAAACTAAATTTGTGCATTCTGAACGCGGAGCTAAAGGAATATTCATGTGTTCATTCTATTGTGTGTCTTGTCTGGGGTTTAGTCATTGCATTTTTCACTGTGACACATGTTGTAAATTGTGAAAAGAAGTGTACCAATTGATTTTAATGAAGTCTGGACTTTGGGATATTTTGAGAAGCCCAAGCAAATTTATGATGTTGAAGGTTAGGTATCTCGTAATTTCCACTTGTCAGTAATGTTCTGAGACTAGATCAAAAAGAGATGCTTCCTCGGAAAGCTTTGCTTGTGTTTAATGAGATATTTGAGATTGTGTACTTTCCAATCACTTAGACATAACTTAGTGGAGGCTGGGAATAAGTTGTGCCCTTTACTGCGTTGAGAAATATTTGCAGATTTTTGTATGTATGCGTGTACCGGTACATGTATATGTATGTTTAAGTGAAATTAAGTCAGGACTTATCACCCATCATATCCATGGTGTGTGATAGACAGCCCTACAGTTTGGACTGATGTTTTTGTAATGCTTTTTTGATGATTATGAAAGTCGGTTGCGTTATCCTGACTTCGTATATATGCATTCAGATTAGTAATGTGGCATGGACCACTATACATGTACTCTATTTTAGTTACTGAACTGCATGTTATGAAAGAGTGTCTAAAGGGGAGTATCTGCAGTCCACCTGAAGAGCTGTCCCCAGGCATCCCAGCCACCGAGCTATTGTGACTTGCAGGTACATTGTACATTATCAGTACACCAAGGCATCCGTGGCATTAATCACCGGCATCGATCTTGCAAGATCTGCAAGTACATGTACATGTATTCCTTTGTGTTACATTTCTTCTGCTGAACATTTGCTCTTCACTTTTATCAACTGGCTACTCAACATGATGGACTCCTGTTTTCCTACCTTGGAACGGCTTGTCGCGATTCATCCCTACATTTAGAACTTTGGCGCCAATTTTTTTCTTGAGTTCAGATTGTATTCTAATTTAACAGAATCTTGTGCTTTCTATGCATGTTTATCTCACATCTTAATTTATGGCCATCTGAATTGGTGTTTTCTGCATTCACTTCATATTTTTTGTATTGATTGACTTGTTTATTCCCTCCAATAAAACAAAATCTCTTTTGTATATACATGTGAATCCTGACTTGTGTGAAGTTGAGAGTTTTTTCAAAGGAATCAAATTAATACAAAATTTGTTTCCTGCTATTTTGAAATGTGAACTACGGGTTACACTGCTGCTTACATTTAGAGTGTGGTTGGCCAGTACAAACTAATTACCACTACCGGTATGTTCTAAACAAAGAAGCAGAAGTACATGTAACTTACACTAGTTCCCATCGATTTGCTGAGAACAATAGGTGAATTGCATTATCTTGCAGTTCAATTTTCTTCTCTAAGTAAGCATCAATCGTCTTGCCGGTTAAAGTGGTTCTGTCTGAAAGGAAAAAAGTGTACATACATGTATAAATAGGCAACAAAGACAGTTGTTTCCAGATGAAGAAAATGCAGTAAAAACATGTAGTCATTTTTTTGGAGAGGGGGAGTTGTTTTGGTTTGGTTAAATTTCTAAATTTATTTTGAATTCCTGCTTTTAACAATATATTTACATTATTAGTTGTCATACGAGTGTGAGTGGAATGTAAATGCAGTGCGTCCGTGTCCTCTATACAATGAGGGCTTCGGCCTTGTGATATACGGGACGCAAATGCACAACCAGTACATTAGTCTGTATTCCAAGAGCGCGACGGTAACAACAAATTTATCTTCAAGCAAGCTTGATGCGTGGTAAAATCTGTTATATACAAGTGCAAGTGAAGTGGAATTCCTTTGGATACAAAGAACACAACAACCGAGTCACAAAAATCTATCTGCTTTCTTAAAGCCTGGTTAATACTTCAAGAAAATGTGAATGTGAAGCAAATTTCATCGACATCAGCATTTGAAGTTCCATTGTGACGTGTGCCAAATTCCCTGACAAATTTGCTTCGCAGTCGCTTTTGCTTGAAGTATGAACTGGACTCAACAGCAGGAAAAATTTGCTTTCATTGAAAACTAACAGAAAACAATAATAACAACTAGAGGTTTGACGGTTGTTAAAACAACTGCAACCTGTTTCGGCATTTTTGAGAAGGCATTGAAAAAACATATAACCATGAAAATATCAGACCGAACAGAAAACACTGACATTTCATGAATGTTACAATGTACATAGTTCAGTCAGATTGACCAGAGTGCTGAAGACCGGCTGTTGAAAAACGTGTACAAAACATATAGGGGAAATTAAATAATCAAAATCAATAAGAAATAAGGCAATGATGTCATCATGATGTCATACATTAAGCTAATAATTTTTATGAGGGTTTTGGTTGGCTGTAACTTTGATGATAATCAAACATCTCAAAGTTATTCAAATTGTGGCTTGAAATTGAATACAAAGTCAATGGGCTGAAATAAATATTTAAAAATCAATAAAAAATTACATGATGGCGTCATCATGACGTTATTCATTTGCAATAATTCTTGTATCAGGGTCTTTGTTGACTTTCACTCTGATAATGATCAATCACCGTGAAGTTACCATAATAGTGGCTTGAAAACATGTACAAAGTCAATGAGCTAAAACACATATGAAGGGAAACTGCTCCTTTCACTTCATGTCACGTGACTTGCATTTAAACTGAAAGATTTTTATGAAATATTGCTTGATATTTTGACTCGTGGGTATATTTGTAATTGAACAGAAGGGAAAATTTAGTCTGATTTCTCTTTCGTTGTGGTAGTAAATTTCGGTCGAAGTTGAAGACTACTCATTCATTAAGTTAATGATAATACTGAGTAGTAGAAAAACGTGTACAAACCCCATGGCAAAATATTAAAGTTTGAAAATTCAAAAATACATCATGTGACGATGTAATCAGGACAATTTTTTTTCTAAGATCATTCCTTTATGAATGTCCGAGTGCACACAACCAAGTCTGAAGCGTATCAGATTTAGTAAACTTCCAAAGTTGACTGACGGGAGAAAAACGTGTACAAACCCAATGGCAACAAATTAAATATTCAAAAATCAATGTGAGAAAAAAAATCAATAAGAAATCACGTGATGATGTCATCATTACAAATTTGTTCTACAAACATCCATGGATGATTCTCTGAAGGTCTGCCAAGTTTGAAGTTGAACAGATTTAGTAAATTACCAAAGTCAACTGGTAGGACGATTACTGAAAAAGAAAAAAAAAGGAAAAGAAAAAAATCTTAATGAAAACAAGAATTGCTTCAGCAGAGTGGCCGAAACAGCTAATAAAAACTAAAGCTTGATCGTCTGCCAACAGAGCAGAGGGGTTTTTCCCATTCTTTGAACAACTAGTCTACTTCAAACAAGGTACTTCTACTGTCATCAAAAATTTGTTTAGCGATCATTACATGTAATTGGCTCCGGAGGAAGAAATATACAGTACACAGAAGAACTCTTTGCAAGTTCACTCTGTTGGCCACACCACCAAGCTTTAGTGCAAATTCCAAAGTAATTTTCCATAGATAATAAAACAGGGTTGGGTACATGTAATTCACATACAAATCTTTCCAACCTGAACCCAGCTGCCATATTTAAAATCAGGGAGAATACATTCCCATGAGAAATAACAAGACCAAAAGCCTAATCCCCAGGGAGTATGTAAAATCATATTGAAATCAAAGGATTTAGGACTGTTGGGGATAAACAACACTTCCAAATATCTAGCAAAACATTGATTAGAAATGCTGCATGTATGTCCAAAGAATACATGTAGCTAATAAGCTAAAGTCTCCCCCAACCTACACGTACATGTAAATGCGGGTTCTACTACTGCACACCTACCAGATTACCAATACCTACGCATTATTTCCTGGTCCATTACTTCAACTTGCTAAATTCTCGATCACCAATAGTGTACCCCCGCTCACTCTCCCCCCACTAAGGCGTCAGCCATATTCGTCCTCTTTTTCATAGTGCGAAGTGTGCCGAGGTCGTGTGGGAAGGAGGGAGGGAGATTGGTAATCTGGTAGGTATGTAGTACCTACACAAAAACTCGGTACATGTACATGTTTAATGTACGATTATGCCATATACTCTATACAAAATTCTATAGCATCGGCAGTCCATGCCTTCATGGTCAAAATAACTGTGTGCTGTTTTTTCCCAGAGTTCAAATAAAACTCTTTCATGGAATATTGAATATGTTGTGTGCTTTACATGTAAAATTTGCACTTAATTTTGCTGTTTAATGCCAAATGTCCACCACGTTTACTATCAATGAACTACATGTAGGCCTATATATTGTGTATGTTGTGCAAAGTCTCGGTCATCTTGGTCTCGGTCTCGAACTGCAAAAGTCTCGGTCTCGAAGTTCCTGGTCTCGGTCTTGAAAGAGCTGGTCTCGGTCTTAGTCTCGAATGCCTTGGTCTCGGACATAAAGGTCTCGACTACAACACTGCAAATGTGTCATTTACATGTACACTGGTTGTCTGGGCCACATGGCCAGTCAACATACTGTACCAAACTCAATAGTGTGTAGGACCATGAAAGGAGGGCACCCGAAGATACGGAGTAGAGCTGAAGGGAGACTACTTGTTCTTTTGGTCTCGGCGAAGAGGGTATTATTGGCATGTCTCTGCAGAACTCATTACAGAATCCATAGCCTGAGGTAAATAGTTGTAATGAAATCTAACATATTTCCATGTAGATAACTGCTGACATACACTAACGGAAGATGTCGACATTGTGCATGTATATAAACCTAGCGTCAAGGATCGTGATAGGGTGGAAAGATTTGATATCTGTGAAAATCAGCCATTTGGAACAAATTATGCTTATGGCCGAGGAAATCCAAATAACGAGGGCGAACTCTCACCTTAACCCTAACAGTCCAAATCCTCCAATTACATACACCCTTGGGAGTTAGGGTTGAGGGTAATGAGAGTTGAAGCACAATACCTCTCAGCTTTGATTCCTGGCCCACTATTAGTACCGAGAGGGTGAACAGGGCCTTGAATTGTAGCTTTCCTATGACGAAGATAAAAAGGGCGCAGTGGAACTATCCCCCAATGAGAGTCTGCGTAGCGGATATCAACAGACCACTATCCAGGAATTGGGAGCAACAAAGGGCGGCTGTACGAAATGTTTGCAAGGATTTGCCCTAGGGCCGAAGATATGTATGTGGGATAAAAAGCCCAGGTGAGAGGATGGAAGTGGGAAGTAAAACAACATTCCAACGAAGTATGGATTGATCCTGACAGAAATCAAGTTGCTGTGACAGGAACTCATGCACATGTAACAATTACCTGTATCAACAAAGGTAGGAATCCAATAATGACCCCAGTCGAACGAAAGGCAGCCATGACTGCGGGAGGGTAGCCGAATGAGCAGACAAAGGTATTCATCCGACTGAGTAAATATCTGCTAGAACATTGCTACTGTAGATAGTGCCTAGAAATTTGGGTATTGAAGGCACCTGCAAAGCAATGTAACCATTGGCATCAGACCCAAGGGGATGGGGGCAGTCTCGAAGTCCCCTCTGGTCTACATCCAAAGCCATGAATAAAGACTTGTACTAAAGAAAAATTATAAAATGCAAGAAAGGAGGAAGTGGAATTTTCACCAGTCCTGTCGATTCGGAGTGATGCTGTATCACACCTCCCTGGCCCTGCATGCTCTCATGAGATCCACATGCACGCACAAACATTTTAGTTGGTAACCAACACCAGACCTGTGCTTGTTGCACATAAAAATGGGAGGAAACCAGCTACATGTATTGGTGGTGTGGACAGCAGATGGCGAGTATCTTATTTTACTTTGGAAAGACATTTTGGGTATGGTGAAAGATTATTAGCGAGGGATGCACTTTTTTCTTCAAAATTTGTGGATGTTATTTTCTTAAACATTTTGGGACTGAAAACTATGGTTTAGTCATGATTTTCTTAAATCCTTCCCCACATTAAGTGTGGGTTGGGTCTACTAGAGAGTACATGTACCTACCCAAACAGTCACTACATATGCAAATTTCCCATGCACCTATTATTCATTCCCTGAAAAGATTTGATCACCCTGACCTCCTACAAGGCAACACGGCCTAGCCGCCATAATCGTCCTTTTCGAAAGCAACTAGGTAGGAGCCAGAGTGGGGAGGGCGGGCGGGAGAGGACTCATTGGGTAGGTATTCTCTAGTAGACCCAACCCACACTTAATGTGGGAAAGGAGTCTACGGCGTTCTACGTACCCAAACAGTCACTACATGTGCAGAGTAGCACCGGTCTAGGTGGGGGGTTGGTAATGACATATAATGCCGAGAATACACGTTTACATATAGACAAGGATGAATGTACAAATTTAAGAAATAGTAAAGGAACTTCATGACTTGTTGTCCATCCTACAGGAGGTCCCTATGACCTCTGCGCTGC